TCTCTCTTCCTCTGTCTGTCTGTCTGTCTCTCTCTCTCTCTCTGTACTCTCTATAAAGAGTTCATGCCCTATAACAGTTTTTTTTTAATCCCAAAAGTAGATTGGTTAATTAAAGTATGGCATAAACATATATCAGAATATTACTGAATTAGTAAAAATGTTGTAAAATCTTTGGCATATGAAAAATATTCATTGAGAACCAGCAGTTAGCGTAATGGCTATGTCGCTGGTCTCCCATGTAGTCGACCATGGTTCGCATCCCGGACCCGGTGGCTTAGAACTCACGCCGGGCGCGTGTGTGTGCATGCCCAAGATCCCAAGAGGAGAAGGGATTGTGGCGTGACCATCCCCCCTGGGGGGTGATTTCTCGCTTTCTGTTTCTATGTCTCTCTCTGTCTGTCTGGCGAGTGCACGCGCCCTATAGCAAAAACCTCTCCAAAAATATATATATATATTCATGATACATTTCATTTTCTTTTTTTAAACAATTATTTATGGAGGGACCAGAAGGTGGGCATGGGGGTTAAGGGCCGGTGACTTAAGGCGCTGGACACTCCCACATGGCCGACTATGGTTCGAGTCCTGGACCTGGTGGCTTGCATTCTCACTTTCCTCTCTCTCTCTGTGTCTCTCTCTGGTCAAATTAAAATGAATGAATGAATAAATAAATAAATAAATCTTTTTTAAAAAAAAGAATTATTTATGGAGCCAGCAGGTGGCATGATGGTTTAAGGTGCTGGATTCCCACATGGCTAACTGTGGTTCAAGTCCTGGACCTGGCAGCCTGTGCTCTCACTTTCCCTTTTTCTCTCTTTCTGTCTCTGTCTGGTCAAATTAAAAATGATAATAATAATAATGAATGGAATTAAATCATACATTTATTATAAAATTTAAAACATTATTTATTTAATTCTATTCATCAGTACTATTCATTCTTCAGTATGACCAGAAAGACAGAGGGAAAGCCACCAAGTCCAGGAATCAAACTATAGTAGGCCATGTGGGAGTCCAGCACCTTAACCACCATGCCACCTACCAGCCCCATGATACATTTCTAAGTGAAAAGTACCCAACTAACAGTTCAACTTCTGATTTTTTTTTCTTTATGATTGTGTGAAAGCAACAAGCATTCAGTAGAAACTGTACTTTGGATATTCATACAACCATTCTATTTTTCACTTTTGGTACAGTACTCAATAAATTACATGAGACATTCAACATTTCATTATAAAATGAGCTTTGTATTAGATGATTTTGCCCAACTGTAGGCTAATATGAGTGTTTTGAGCATGTTTAAGGTAGGCTAGACTAAGCTATGATATTCTGTGAGTGAGGTGTATTAAATGCATTTCTGACTTATGATGATATCAAGACAAAACCCCATTAAGTTGAGCATCTGTATAACAAGATACTATGCTTTGTCCATTTGAGCTACTATAACAACAATACCATACAGGTATTTTAAACAAACAAACAAAAAAAAAAAACATTTATTTCTCACAGTTTTGAAAGCCAGAAGTCCGAACTGAGGTGCCAGCATGGCAGCGTCTTGATGAGGGCACTCGTCTGGTTAATAGATGCTCCCTTCTCACTGTCTACTCACATGGCAGGGAGAGCAAGACACAGCTCTGGTGCCTTCAACTCTGTATAAGAGCACTGATCCCATCCGGAAGACTTCACCATCATGACCTCATCTAAGCCTATGCTTCCCAAAGGCCCTACCTCAAATACTATCATACTGGGGATTTGAATTTGGTAGGAGGAGGACACAAACATTCAATCCATAGCATTCACTGTGGTCCATTTTCAAGAAAAAATTTTAAAAGTATATGTGTGTGGTGTGGATGTGCATCAAGATAACCAAGAATGACTATCATGGACATTGGAAATTTGCCAGTATTGTGCACCTTTGTGATTGTCTTAACAAAGTCATGGTGGTAAATCACAGTGATAAAGGTAGAGACCTCCCTAAATGAGTGAATTCCCCATGCCATTAGTCATCTTTTTTTTTCTTTTTTTTTTGGAGAGGTCTTCGCTATAGGGCACGTGCGCTCGCCAGACAGAGAGAGAGAGACATTAGAGGCAGAAAGCGAGAAATCACCCTCCAGAGGGGATGGCCACACTGCAATCCCTTCTCCTCCATTCTCCTCTCGGGATCTTGGGCATGCACACACATGCACCTGGCATGAGTTTAAGCCACCAGGTCCAGGACTCGAACCACGGTTGACTACGTGGGAGTCCAGCGACATAGCCATTACACTAACTGCTGGTCCCCATGCCATTAGTCATCTTGAGAAGAGATTATTTCTGGAGCAGGAAGTGATGAGACGGTAGGGAGAGCTTTCTGCCTGGCGCAGACCCAGTAGGCAGGGGACCCGCCTGTACATTTTTTGTTTGTGAGGGGTGTGGCTATGTGTATTAGATAGGGATTTCCTGTATTCCAGTCTTCCTGCCTCAGCCTCATAAGTAGCTGGGACTGTAGGCACTTAGCTTTTTAGGAGAGGCTGAGAATCGAACCTGGGCCTCCAGTATGGCTTCAGTCTGCCAAGCAGCAGTATCCAGCACATGCTATCACAGTTGGGCTACATTTTCTATTTATAAATTTCAAATCATGTATGAATTTTAAATTTTATCTCTATTTTCTCTTTTCTTCACAAATGATATGGATTGAATTAATTCTGCATGATAATTACACTAATAGAGAATCCCCAAATTAGTTTTCATAAATAGAAAGAAAATGTTATATACTTCTAAAAGTATTTCTGCATCTTTCCAAATTTGGTAGATAGTCATCAGTCTTTTCAGTCCAATTTGAGGAATTGGCAGCCAAAAATTTAAAATATTAATTTAAACTGATTAATAATGAGGGAAGGGACCAGCAGTTAGCGTAATGGCTATGTCGCTGGACTCCCACGTAGCCGACCGCGGTTCACGTCCCGAACCTGGTGGCTTAAAACTCACGCCAGGCGCGTGTGCATGCGTGTCCAAGATCCCGAGAGGAGAATGGAGGAGAAGGGACTGTGGCGTGGCCATCCCCCCGGGGGGGTGATTTCTCGCTTTCTGTCTCTATGTCTCTCTCTGTCTGGAGAGAGCACACGCCCTATAGCGAAAACCTCTCAAAAAAAAAAGTAAGTTTAAAAATTATTGCATGCTTCCCATAAAAATACTTATTTTTTTGAGAGAGCTTTATGTGTAATTACTTATTCTCATCATACCCTTATGAAATAAGGTACTATTTCTAGTCCCATTCTTCAGATGAGGAAACTAAAGTACAGAGTGTTCAGGAACTTGCACAACAGCACACAACTATTTAATGCTTCTTCATTCCTTAAGAATAATCAAGCACTTGATTCAGAGTTAACTCTAATCCATCTGAACCATCAAGGCCCTGGACAGGGCATCGTAAGTGCCTAAGGTTAACATATCCAAAATAAAGATGTTTAAGAAGGGAGAACTAAAATATAACACCAAAGACAGAACAGTAGGGAACCAACTAGGGAAGAGGTATGAAGTATTATAGAATCAAGAAATATGAAAGGAAATTCTTGAGCTAAAGCACAAGTGGCTAATGTAGTTTTTTTGTTTTGTTTTATTTAATTATAATTTCTGATTTATGTACAGTCAACATATATCTTTGTGGGGTACGGTACAGTTTTTTTTAAAGCATGCATACAGGGGCCAGCCAGTGGCATGGTGGCTAGAGTGGGCTGGACAGACGTGCCATTGAATTATCAGACCTTGTGGCTTGAGGGGCATGCTGGGTGCATGTGTGTGTGCCTGCCCAAGGTCCCAAGAGGAGAATGGAGGAGAGGAGATTGCAGCATGGCATGTCTCTCTCTCTAGAGAGCACATGCACCCTACAGCAAATTAAAACAAACAAACAAAATAAAAACCTTATTTTTAAAAAATGCATGGGGAACCAGCAGTTAGCATAATGGCTATGTCGCTGGACTCCCACGTAGTCGACCGCGGTTCGCGTTCTGGACCTGGTGGCTTAAAACTCACGCAGGGTGCGTGTGCGTGCGTGCCCAAGATCCCGAGAGGAGAATGGAGGAGAAGGGACTGCGGCGTGACCATCCCCCCTGGGGGATGATTTCTGGCTTTCTGTCTCTCTGTCTCTCTCTGTCTGTATGGTGAGCGCAGGCGCCCTCTAGCAAAAACCTCTCAAAAAAAAAATGTATGGATACAGTGTAAGCAAGAATATACACATATTCATCTTCTTTACTTTTGAACATTACATTATATTGTGTGCATTTGATGCTAGTTCTAGGTTTTTTTGAAATATGTGTTAAATCGTCTATATTTTTCCCTCTGCTGTGTTACACCATCCAGCCTTTTCCCCTTATTTACATACATTCTCGTGTCCATTAAATTATTTTGCATGAACCTCATCACCCACTCTGTTTGGTGTAGTTTTTTAAGTTGTATTGAGGCTATAGTGTGAATATATCAGAAGAAAATGAGGAGTAAAGAGGTAGCTTGCATCACTCTGGCCCTCAGTCCACTTCCCCCAGCAAATTAGAGCTGGTACAGAATACAAGATCTCACTCCCTCGCTGCAAATGACATTTTGTTGTTGTTGTCACATTACAAAATTACTTGGTGAGCTATATTTGCTAAAATCTCACCTCCTATTCCTTTCTTCCCTCACCTATAGTTGTGCAGTTGTGTTTGTGATGCTAAATAAAAGCTGTAACATTTAGGACACAATGCCTGTTATGACCTAATTCACAATCATTACTATTAACAGTATTAATACTCATCAGCCATAATCATTACAAAATGGAAATACTACTTAATACATTAGGTCTCAGGTCCCATATCCTTCAGCTCAGAAATGGAAATACTGTATTGCACTACACCTGTTTTTTTTATTTTCCAAACCACAGTGTCACAACCCGCCCTTGGCCCAGCCACCCAACTAAGCCCCGCCCCTGGCCTCCGCCCCGCCCACTTCTGGCCGGAGGCGGGAAACCCTGGATGTAGCCGCTGATTGGCTGGCTGGGGCGCAGTTTGATGGCGTCTGGCTGGCTAGCTGCTGTCCCTGCGGTGGCACCCGGGCGAAGGCTGCCTGTGTGAGGGGCCGATGGCCCAAGTGTGCCGTGGCTTGGAGGAGTGGGAGGAGGCGGCTGAAGCCCTCCTTACACGTAGCCATGAGTTTCCTGATCGACTCCAGCATCATGATTACCTCCCAGGTGAGTCACCCCGCGCCGCCACCCTTCAGCCTGCCTTTCGCGAATCACCCTCTCTGGGCCTCGGCCATATGGCTGGCTCGCGTCTCCCCCGGCTGGCTCGGGTCTCCACTCCGCTCACCGCCTGTGCCCACCACAGCAGTATCAGAGCGCGGGGAGGGCGTGGGATTTGCTGCGTCCGGCTCCCTCCACCCTGGTTGTCGGAAGGCTGGCCTGGGGCTGTCGGCGCCCTAACCTCACACCCATCCCCCGGCTTTCTAGTTTCGGAAGAGGTCAGCTGGCCTCAATGATAAGAGCCGGTACCACCAGACCGAAGCGGTCTTGAAAGCTCCCCGATGGTTCGAAACTGCGCCGCTGACGCGTGGGTTGGAGTAGAGTGTGGTTCCGGGCGCAGGGTGTGCGGCGAGCCAATCCCCGCTGGATACAGGAGACACGTGTGGGCTTTGCCCCTGGTTGTCAAATCCTGAGTCTCGATGTGGAGATATTTGCTGACGTCGCTTCGAAGTATAATGTTTAGTTTGTGCATTAACAGCTCATCCTTTACCCTGAGCTTACTACCCACCCTTTTGGGGTCTTTTTCTGACCCTCGTTTCTTCTCTATTCTCCACCTTCATTCATTCATGTGTACAGTCAACAAACGTTTATGGACATTTTTTTAAGTCTCTGAGGGTACAAACACTTATAAGACACTAACTGTCCCTTTTCCCAGGAAGCTTCTTCTAGTGAAGCTCTTGCTTGTACTATGTCATTTGTTGATATCATTTATGTATGTGCGAACTTATTTCTTGGGATCCTGTCTTGCTCGTAGCTATATCCTCACCTCCAAGTGCAAGTACTCAGTAAGTAATTATTGGCCAACTGTAATTATTTGTAGAAGCTCAGACTACCTAGTTATTGACCTTCCCCCCCTCACTTTTCCAATAATTTAAGGTATTTTTCTTAAATTTATTTCAAAGTTCCTTTTGGAGGCTGAAAGGAAACTAGATCTTTGTTCTTTAATCCAGTTTTCGTATTGCTTCATCCTAATGACTTATTTCCATAGCATTGCCCTTATCTCTTGAAAAACTTTATAACATTTAAGAGAATGTGAAACTAGGAAAAGCCATCCATAATATTATTACCCTAACACAATAATTTTTTTAATTCACCATTTTTATATAGTTTTCCTAATTATTTTTATTAGCTGCATGATATTTAAATGTATCTATATTCAAAAATCTAAATATGCAACTTGCCTGCTTCAGACCTTTCTAAGGCCTCCTATTTCCCTTAGTGCCAACTGAGGTTTATCTTAGCCCAAGCACCAATTCAAGTTCTTTAGTAACTATCCTGCTAATTGTCTTTAAAAAAAAACAAAAGTAGTTAATTTCTGGGACCAGTAGTTAGTGTAATGGCTATGTCACTGGACTCCCATGTAATCGACCGCAGTTTGAGTTCTGGACCCGGTGGCTTAAACTCACACGGGTCGTGTGTGCGTGTGTGCCCAAGATCCCAAGAGGAGAATGGAGGAGAAGGGATTGTGGCATGGCCATCCCCCTGGGGGGTGATTTCTCGCTTTCTGTCTCTCTGGCGAGTGCACACGCCACATAGCAAAAACCTCTCAAAAATAAAGTAGTTAATTTTCAACATAGAGATAATTTTTATGAAAGCAACTGTTAACTGATTCGTATGCTTCAGCCCTCTACACAGTCATTAGACTTAATAGTTCCATAGTACACCTTAAGTCCCAAGGTCAAAGCTCCACTTTGAACAATTCTAAAAGTATTAATTCTCTTTTTCTAATAAGAAGCTGTTCACCTTTCGTTTTATTTTAAAGCTGTTTGAAATTGCCATTTCATTTTGCATGCTTCTTGGATCCTCTGTGATCTCACCAGAATTCATATTTATCTTGAATGTAATGAATTCTCTAGTTACATGTGTGTTTGTGTGTGTGTGTGTGTGTATTTGGAGAGAGTGAGAATGTGTTTGTCTTTGTTCTTTTTTAAAAAAAAAAAACATTTATTTATTTATCTATTTATTTATTGTGATTTTCAAGCCACTAGGTCTGGAACTTGAACTGCAGTCAGCCATGTGGGAATCTAGCACCTTAACCAACATGCCACCTGCCAGCCCCTATATTTGTCTTTTATTTATTTATTTATTTATTTTTGAGAGGTATTTGCTATAGGGCTCGTGCACTCGCCAGACAGACAGAGAGAGACACAGAGACAGAAAGCGAGAAATCACCCCCCAGGGGGGATGGCCACACCACAATCCCTTCTCCTCCATTCTCCTCTTAGGATCTTGGGCACACACGCACACGCACCCGGCGTGAGTTTTAAGCACTGGGTCTGGGACTCGAATTGCAATGGTCTACATAGGAGTCCAGCGACATAGCCATTACGCTAACTGCTGGTCCCACTATGTTTGTCTTTTTAAGCTTCCTTTGTCAATGTGAAAGGAGCCCACAATGAAATTAAAGGTATCTATTTTCTTGCATTCCCCGTCTCATCATATAAATTTACTATTTCATTTGTTTTTGTTTTTTTTCTCTCTTGTCTAAAGTTTCATTTCAGGGTGATCTTGGTGATGTTTGTTTTGTCTTGTTTTTTTAATCATCCCTCTCCATAATATACACCACTTACAGTCCTAATTACCCAACTTTCCCATCTTCAGTCATGACTTTATGATATAAACATGGACTCTAAATTCTGAATTTAAGTCTGTCTCCACTGGCAATTATTTATGATTGCCAAAGGGTCTTGGAATTCTCGGAATTCTAGTTCTCCCCAATCTGTTTGCCCCTTCCTTTTCTACTTGATCTGGAGTCGTGTGCCCCAGTTACTTTTTCATACTCTCTTATTCCTTTACCTTCGTATATAAATCCACCCTTGGATCACTGCTGTGATTTGTTTACTACTAATACAGAAGCCTAAAGGCTGCTGTAGAAAATCATAGTTTTGCAGTTCCCTGACACCATGAATTTAACCTTCAGCTCATTGAATCATTCTTTTCTTGACTTTAATCGGCTATTAGATCCATTCCTCTTATAATTTCTCTGATTCTTTTTTTTTTTTTTTTTTTTTTGAGAGAGAGATTTTTGCAATAGGGTAAGTGCACTTGCCAAAGAGACACAAAGCAAGAAATCACCTCCCAGGAAGGATGGCCACACCAAAGTCCCTTCTCCTCCATTCTCCTCTTGGGATTTTGGGTATGCATACATGCACATGCGCACGCACACACACACACACACACACACACACACACAGTGTAAATTTGAAGCCACCACGTCTGGGACTCAAACTGCAGTCAACCATGTGGTAACCATTATACCACCTATTGGTCCTAATTTCTCTAATTTTTTTTGTCACTTTCTTCATAGCCCCCTTTTCCATTCCCACTTCTCCTACTCTTGCCTCTTGTTTATTCAACAAAACGATGCCAAAATGTATGATCTCCTTTACCTTCTACATTTCACTCTAGGAGGTTATCTGTATGTATGATTATTCTCACTTCTTTCCCCTCATATCAGAAAATAGGATGCCCTCTATATTTGTTTAATGCCTTTTTCTCCACCTGTACCTTTGATCGTATTTTGAAGTGGTTAAAAGCACAAGTTTTAGAGTCAGTCTTACTAGCTTCAGATTGAATCCTGATTCTGACACTCAGTATATATTGATTAACTTCTCTGTCAAGATAGGAAAATCAAACCTGTCTTATTGGTGTTACGATTTTATAAGATTATAATGCTAAATTCTTTGCCTAAGTATAGAGCAAGTGGTCCATGAAGTTTAGCTAATAATAATAAATGAATAGCATCATCAGTTTATCCCATAGTATCCCGTCAGTCCCTTCTCATCTTTGTTTATCCCCCTACTCTGCTTTCTTCCCCTTGGCTTGTCTGTGGTTTAAGGGTTATGAGTCCTCTCCCACCCCAAACCTCATGCTGTAATTTGACACCCAATGGAGCAGAGTTGGGAGACTGGAAGGTGTTCAGGACCAAAGAATATATCCCTTTTGAATAATTAATGCCATCTCCAAGGAGAAAGCAAGTTTTCACTAATCATTGGGTTGTCAGAAAAGTCATAAAGTATTTTTCTGTTTTTCTGCGCTATGCAAAAGTAGTGACTTTTCTGATATCCCAATAGTTTCTCACTGAGATTGTTATAAAAGCAAGTTGCCTACCCACAGGTCTCTCTCTTTGGTATGTGCCTGCTTTTCTTTTCACTTCTCTGCCATGTTGTTCCAAAATGCCAGCCCCGTGCCTTTGGACTTTTCAGCCTCCAGAATCATGAGCCAAATAAACCTCTTTTCTTTATAAGCCACCCAGTCTCAGATATTCTGCTATAACACCACAGACTTAAGGCAGCCTGTAAGTTTTCCCTTGACCCTACATTCTTCTTTAGGCTACTATCTGATATTTCTTTTTATCACTCTTGGCTTTTTAATTTGTGCTTATTGTCTTTAACTCCTTACCTCCCACTTACCTCACTATAGTCTGGTTCCTACCTTCATCTCCCTATTCATATTATTTTCCTTAAGGTCATCATTGACCTGCAAGTTACTAAATCCTTTGAAGATTCAGTCTTTTTTTTTTTTTTTCAATTTGCTACAGAGTGTGTGCACATGCCAGAGAGAGATGAAAAAGGAGAGAAGGGGAAAGTGAGAAAGTCATCCACACACACAGGGATCGGGATGGCCATGCTGTATTCCCTTCTCCATTCTTCTCTCAGAATTTTGGGTACATACTCACCCTCATCTGGTTTGTTTTCAAGCCAGCATCAGGACCTGAACCTTGCAGTCAGCCACATGGGATCCAGCCACCTTAACCACCACACCACGAGCTGTCCCCTTTCTGTCCTTTTTTTTTACTGTCCCTCCTGCTTCATTTAACACTTCTTTAAACTCTAGTCTCATTGTTTCAAGATACTACCATCTCCTAGGTCTGTTATTTCTCTGACTATTCCTTTTCTGTCTCCTTCCTGTCTCTTCTTGCCATTCCTACCCTTGCCATTTTGTGTCCCCCTCTTTGCACATTGCTGTCCTCACTCTACATGCTATTCCTCAGTGATCTCATATGCTTTGGTGGTTTTAGCTTAGAGCTATATCTCAATCATGCCTTAATCTTTTATTCCAATGCTTACTAGATACTCACGAAGTCAGGTTTTTTTTAAGAATTATTTTATTTAACTTTATTATTATTATTTTCCAGTTTGATCAGAGAGACAGACAGAAAGAGAGGGAAAGTGAGAAAGCAAGTCACTAGGTCCAAGACTTGAACCATGGTTGGCCATGTGGAAGTCCAGCACCTTTAACCACCACGCCACCTGCCGGCCCCCCTAATGTCAGATTTTAACCCCAAATTAAAAGCCTCTTTTAGCTCAGGGCCTAGTGGTTAAGGGAGCTGGATCCCACATGGTTGACCACATTTCAAATCCTAGCCCTGCAGGCTTGAAAAGCATTCTAGTTGCACATGCATGTGCATGGATGTCTGTGTGCCCCCAATCCCAGCAGGGTAGAGAAATAGAGGAAGGATCACAGTATGACCACACCCTACTGGGGGATGCTTTCTCCCTTTTAACCTCTCTCTGTTTCTAGCAAGTGCACACACCTCCTGTAATTTATTAATTTATTTTAAAAATTATTTTAGTTAATTTTATTTATTATTATTATTTTTTAATTTGACTAGAGAG